AATTGATAATGATGGATACTTTGGAAGAAAACAAGTTTATAATTGAAGTCTATAATTGAATTGAAGTGGACGCTTAGTAAACGGCGATTTTTTAAATTTTGAGTTAAAACAAGTAGGTACCCCTATATTCGTAAAGCGGCATTTTTTATTTTACATGGAAAATTGACAGCTGGCTAGATGAAAATCATTTATAATCACTCTGTAGTAATAAACTGTTAAGTGCAAAAACAAAAAATAGGCTATTTCTTTTATCTTTAACAAACTTATTATTAACTTTAAAATTTGAACTTTTTTCTTTAAAGCAGTAAAAATTTTATTTTTCAAAAATAGCTAAATTTTTGTGTACTGCAAAAGTGCTTTTGTCAAAAAAAATATCATTATTTCAGCTCAGGTGACGCAGTGACTTAATATCTATGACTTTTGTATATGCATTGTTATATGTATATTTTAACATACAGGCTGTCCCAACGGTCCGAAAAAGCTCTATAACTTGTTTACTTTAAGAGATATTGACTTTTTCTTTTTTTTAGATTATAGCTGCGTTTTTGATGCACATTTTAAAAATATTGCGGTTTATATACAGGGCTGTCCCAATATTAAAAAAACACTAAAGTTATGTTATGTTTTTTTAAATGGAATCTACTCAGTTTGATTTTATTTTTGGATTCTACGCTAAATTACAAATAACTTTTATAGAGGTTGTTTTCATTTATCTGTTATCAATTTTGATTTGTGGCGCTTTTTTACCAGAATTTTTTAAATGCAGGGGTCTCTCTAAAAATTCKTACCTGTTCAATACTTGCACACAAGTTAAAGTAMGTAACGYCGTTTGATTCCTGAAGGTTTGCCGCATCTTTTAAGTGTTTACTCAACAACCTGCTCAGTGGCATGTGCCTACTGCGATTTTTTAAACATGACAAATTAAAAATGTCAAAAACTCATTTTTTTCAAATGGCACCCTCTATTTATTATTGTACCAATCAAAAGATCTTTTGACAAGCTTTCCATCAATATAGGGTTTGTATAGTCCAGTGTAAAATTCTAAGTTGCTATCCTAAATTAACTAAATTTCGAAAAACTTTTCTGTTTTGGACAATAAAAATCGAGTGGGCTTCTGTCATTGTTGCGATCTGTCAATTTTATTGGGAAGATTATAAGTCCCAAAATGAATTTTACTCGTCAAGAACTCATTAACTCTTAATCAACAGCACTTGAGTTCAACTTGGATGGAATAAAATATTTATGTTGCAGGATGCCTAGTATTATTAATTATTTCTGTCACTATTAGT